CTGCTGTTTGCCACAATATCAGGTTCAGCTCTGGCCTGTAAAGAGCCCTGCGGTCCAAATCTGGCTTTGCAGGCAGGTGAGTTTGACACCTCTGTTCTAGGCCATGGTAGGCTCAGGTGGATGCTGCCATCATGGCAAATGAAGAAGAAAGGAAAATATTCAGCAAAAGACTCTCCAAATACCTGTTCTTTGAAAATGAACATTTTCTAGGACAAAGGAAGGAGACAGTGGGTGTTTCTACACATGCATTAAATCCAGGAGCAGTTTACTCCCACTTCCCGTGGCCCTGCAGTGAGCCCCTGCTGCCACTGGTGGAGTTCTAGGCTCTGCCAGGGTGTTAGCCTAGGGGCTGGCAGGGAGCACTGGGCTGGAAAACAGTTGTCTCCAGGCCAGGGCTGAGACATTGTACCCTGCCCCCAGGGGGGCTACTTGCTGCTGGCCCCACCTCCCCAATCAGGGGCAGGGGACTTGGAAATTGCTGCAGGGGAGGGGCAGGTCCCAGTCTCCTGCCCCAGTGGTTCAGGGCATGGGGCTGGGACCTACCCCACCTCTGCAGCTCTTTTCAAGCCCTGTGCCTCTAACACCTGATCAGGAGACAGGGCTGGGATCTGCCCCTGACCGGGACAGTTCCCAGCACCCGTTCCACAACTGCAGGGCACAGCCTGTGGAGTGTGATCCCCACTCAGCTCCATGAGCATGGAGCTGGGTGGGGAACAGATTGGGGAGCTTGGGCGCTGTGACCACAAAGCTCGGGCTGGGTGATAAGGGACTCCCAGAGCTGGCCCTGTGACTGCAAAGCTGGCGCTGGGAAATAAGGATCTCCCAGCCCTGCCACTCCACGATCATGATGGTGAAACAGGGGCTGAGAGATAATGATGAAGCAGGGGCTGGGAGATAAGGATTTTCCATCCCCAGCTCTCCAATGGTGATCTCGGAGTGGGGGGCTTGGAGCTCCCTGCTGCCAGGGCAGGGGGACATAGTCCCCACAGATTTGCTTCTGGTCAGGCATCTACACAATTGCTACTGCACAGTTAGTAATCACAAGTAAATTTGCTACTTGCATTTGCAGGTAGGAAATTTACTTGCAATTAGTGAGGTTTCTTGTACAGTAAGCATGTGCACGTGTAGACACACATGCATACTGCGCAGTAAACTACACTACTGCATAGTAAAGCATCTCATGTAGACACACCCAGTCATTTGCAAATGACTTTCCCCTAAGGTGGTATGTTCATTTCTGGGGAAGTCTGGACACTGATTGACAGGACGTGAAACACAAAGCCTCCCGACTGGAAATCAAAGAGGATGCACTGCTTCAAACCTCAGGGCCATCAGAAGCAATGTTGGGGGACAGACACTGAAAAATAATTCAGAAGCTCTAGCATGCGTAGGATGGGGAATGAGGAACCAGGGAGCCTGACAAACTTCTTTAGAAATAAAAGTTAATATGATGAGTCAAACTTGTCATGTGGTGCTAAATAGTGTCAACCCACCCGTTGTACATGACTGCGGTACAAAAATGTACATTTAAGTCTTTATCAAGGTAAGAGTAGGCTCATTTGATATTTGGCCCACTGGGACTTGCAAATTTTGCAGGATTAGAGTGGAGTCAAGAAGCTGACTGGATGATATAGTAGGAGGCTATGGCCAACAGCAAGGGCTCATGTCAAATGCAAGGGCCTCAGCAGTTGTATATGACTTCATTCATCTACTTACAAGGTCCTTGTCAGAGTTGTATCCAAAGCCTTCCTTGAAGGTCTTCCCCTTAGCTTTAATTTTATTTTATTTTTTGAGGTATTATGTATATAGTCATGGGTTTTACCTGACCTTCTCCTGTAACTCACAGATAAGATGCTCAATGGGTGTTAAGTTGAGGATTTTTGCAGCAGAATAGTAGAAATAACTTGAACATATTTTTCCTGCTTTGTTGGCAGTTGAAAGGAGACAGCGTCATGCAGATCATTAGTTGATTTTTACATGCATTTGTACTCTGAAGTCTTTAAATAAAACAGCCATATAATAAAGTTTGCAAATTCCATCTAGTCACATTATCATGAAAATGTATATGATATGTGACACAGTTTAATAGTCAAGGAAACATAATAAGTGTTCAGTTGGTTGCATTATTTGTAAGATTCTCTCTTTACTCCTCTGACCACTGTTCTTGCCCAACTACATAATGATTAATGTGCCCTTCAGCAAATGAGATTGGCTCTGTCTGATTGTATTAGTTCCTGTTCATTGGAGTTACTGAGCATCAATCACGTTCTAATCAGAGCTTGTGTACATTGATTTTTATAAACAGCTTCAACCATAGGGTTTTATCATCATCCTGAATTAACTCCTTAATTGTGACAAAAACTAATTTAAAATAATAACGAGCATGTTTCTATTTTTAAATGCTGGCAAGTATGATTCTAATGTTTTACTTAAAATACCAATCTAGTTTTAGGGCACGTAACAGGTTAAGAAAGCATCATGATTATGTTTTAAAGTATTTTTATTAATACAAATATCATACTATGGATGACATCATAGGCACTTTTCACCTTTTGCAATTATTCTGTATTAAAATATATACATTATTAAGAACCGGACCTTAATATTAAGAGCTGTATTTTTATTTTTTTAAAGATGGGAATTCTTCCTTTAAAAAAAAATACTACACAACCGATTGAATTACACCTCATTAAAATTCCTTGTCTTGAACACAAAAATACTTGCCACTTCTCTGAGAATGATCAAGTTTCCCTGTGAAGAAGCATCAGTGCTAGTGTCACCTGCTTTGAAGATGAAAATTAGTACTGATGCATTTCATTCTCATTCTGATTGGTAAAAGGAAATGTCCACATTTGAGAGACAAATAATAATATGCTCAACTAAAAATAAGTGCCTTCTGCCGAATGTCTGGCCAAAAGTGGTACTCCTCAATTGCAGATCGAGTGGTAGCTTATCCATTTTAAAGAGAGGTGCATTGTGTTTAGTGATGGATTCAGTAATTGTGCAAGACTAACTATCCTCCCACATATAGGCAGTACAATAAATTAAACCTTTAAAAATGGAATGCTTCCACTTAATGAGGACCAGTTGATTTCACACTATGTTGATCTTTCTGATTTGTCAAGTGGGAATTAGATTAAAACCATTACATTCATTTTAAAACCTGATACTGAACAATTCTTCTATTATTAACATGCAGTTATCCAGTAGCATGTGCTACTTTGATGAGAAGGTTTTATTCAACTACTGAAGGGAATATCAGGTATCTATCAGCAAAACATCTTGGAATTGGTTTTGAAAGTACTAAAAACCTCCTGAATCTTTAGGAAGATTTTAATATATCTGAGTAAGGCCCTTTTGCCTAAAGACATACACTCCCAGGTTCAGGTAGGGATCAGAAGTGTCACTATTACTAAGATGTTCTCTTTTGGTATTTCCAGAAGAACTACAAGCCAGAATCACTATGTATTTCCTGAAAGAGCCTGTGCTGAGCTCTCTATCCACGCTTTGAAAGGTTTGAAGGGTTCAGAAAAGCATCCCAAAACCAGATGCCTATACCCCAGTGGCCAAACATGATAAATTCATGCCCACCAGCATGAGTTTTCACTGGCATTGAGATTTTTCAGTGAGCTCTGACCCTGGAAAGCCTAATCCCTACTTGACACAACATACTGAGTCTGAGAAGGACTGCCCCCAGTATGGTGCCTTTATATCATTTTACTGGTCGACAGTCCTGACAACAGGAGAACTTACCCAGTGCTGAAGGGCAGCCAGTGGAAATTCCCATCATAATATTTTTAACTGGGGGTACAGCCTGTCAAAGGCATTGACTTTGCAGCCTCCCTTGTCTGATCATCAAAGCTAGACTGAATTAATCACTTTTACACTGAGAGGCTGGCATGACTCATTTTCTTGCTTTTACTTTCCAAGATTTTCTTGGGAATTCCATGAATTGCCCAGGTCAGTATATTTGTAGAACTGGGAAACACTTGCCTACTTACAGAGCTTAGGGAATGGACTGTCGTTTAAAGAATAGCTGCCATCGATCAGAAAACTTAAGAGGAAGAGAATAGGAACTTAGCTAAATTGACTGTCGTACATAAAAGCTGTATCCAAAAGAGCTATTATAGGTTATTTTATGCATACAAAACAGAAATTCGTACTGAACGTATGATCTGATACACTGCAGTAACATGGGTGATGAAGCTCACGTATCACAGATGTCCCACTAACTGCCATTTATGATAATGGGAATTCTGTTCAAGGGATTGCAGGGTGCTTAGAAAAAGTAACCTGTCCTCAGATATTATGACATAGACTGTGGTATAGATTATGTTAACTTGGTAAAAGTGCAGATCAACTTTTATAATGTGGAACTGAGTTATGGGCCCAATCTACTCTGTTATCCCAGTGTGAAGTTGAAGCCTCGTGTGTTACGCTGGTGCAAATGAGACAATTTTGTCCCCTTCATTATAGTTCCCAAAAAACATTCACATTTAATTAGAATAGTCCTTCACAAGTTGTGGGCAGTGGTCTACAAAGAACTGGCTGGTCACCTGCTTCTGGTTCTTTTCCCCTCCTCATTTCCAGTTGCTAAATTGGATTTGTGAAGAAGCCAGTTTAACTTGTCTGAGCATGCAATTGCTCTAGCAAACCCCACACTTCAATGGGATGTGCAAATCATTTTTAGTAAATAATCTTTTTTATTCTTTCAACCCATTTCCTGCTTTTGGGAAAAATAGATGGAAATTTGATTTTTCTCAGCTGTAAGATAAGAAATAATAATTCATAAAGAACAAAGAGAACTAATGCTTAAACAACTAGTTTAGATTGTGGCTGAGGAGGTGAAAGGTACAATACCACTAACATACAAACACCTTTAAAAACTAGATGCTCATGACCTGATATGCAAAACAGCCACATGGCTTACTGGTTTTACCCCACTACATGGCAATTTCTCTGCTAAATTAAAATAGTAATTGGAGATAAGGATGGATTACCTGTCTGATCCATTCCACGCACATTCAAACTTGTCAAAGATGCAGTCATTTTCATAAAGGGAACACAGCTTGCTCCTAAGGTAATCATGGACCTGTTTTACAGAAAATGATAGAGCAGTTACTTAAAAAGCCCACACATTTGAAATGTCCTATTGTATTGCCTTAATGGGCTGGTAGCTTTTACAAAGGTGGTATCCTTCCATCTTTTAAAGTAAAGTTTGTACTTTCCCTAGTTCAATTTGAAGAATGCTGTAAAATTACCAGATTTTCTTGCATGCCACACATCTCCAAAAAAGACACACATCTTGTTTTTGGAAAGCATAATGTAGAAAAAAATATTTTTTCCACAGTCATTGCAGACTGTGTGACAGAGTAACTCCTCCTGGACTTACTCCGGGAAGTGTGGCATCCTAGGAGACAGTCTAGGTGAGGCAGCAGGAACTTCCTGGTGTCACAACAGAGAAACATGGCTAGGCCCCAGCTATAATACAAGTCCCCTGCAAAAGCAGTAGCAAGACCACTACTTCTTTACTGTAAATAGTTCTTTATACAAGTTCCTGTAAATAATAAAGTGCTGTTTCCACACCAAAAGCCCCATCGATATACTACAGACAGCATGCAGCAGCTCACTTGCCCTGAGACAGCTTAATTGCTCATTCAGGCACCAAGGTACAATGCTCAGCCAACAGCTATGGCTGTTAGGGGGTTAACACAGGACTCCTCCCCTTCTACATGCTGGGACCAGAAACAATGGCAGCCATCTTGACAGCCATTAGAACAGTGTCTGCATGCTTTTATTCCAGTGAAGAAAATTAAGACATGCATCCCCAATTAGAAGGGCTGATTGTTGGGGTGGGAGGGTACACATAGTATGCAATTATATAAGGCAACATAGCAGGAAACCTCATTCTAGAGCATGCCTTCCTACCCCTGCTCTAGATCACCCCTTTCAAACGTGCTTTGTTCCTGTCCATTTTTTTAACTGTAGCCCAATTTCAAAAGAGATTGGGTAGCTGATACAACTTATGTGATGATCAGTGTTTAAATTAATCTAAACTAAATTATCTAATTTAAATAGTAACTGTATAAAAATCTAAGATCTATATGGACTCCTATTTAATTATAGTAAAAGGCTTTGAGAGAGATACCTGCCCCACTTATAAAAGGTATAATACATGCCAGTGCTAGCAATGACAGGTCAGAAGCAAAGTGCAGGAAGATGTATGGAGTTGCTAATTTTCATAGGCTAATGCTCAAAACACTATCTTGGTTCATGGCTATTTCGTATCAATGATAAAATCTGAGATTTGAAAACAAAAACCAACAACTTATGTTGCGTACTCTGGAAAATCTCATTTTAGGTTGCATATTGGAAGTGGGTGAGAGTTACTGTAAAATAATGTATATGAAGGACACTATCATTCCTCTACTGAATTGGATTCTTTAAAGTCAATCTCATTTGTTTCACACCACAATAAAATAATGAGCCTGGGAATTCTTGTCTATACGAAGCCTAGTAATCCATTTCACATTCCTTGTTTTCTAGTGGCTGTTACAGCATGTTTGATCACTAGGCAGGACCTGAAAAACAACTATTTCAGATACTAATGTTGCATGGATGACCTCTGAGGAGCCCATATTATTTTTTATCAGCACCATATGAATACAACTGCCTGGAGACCAAATTTAGTACTGGCATAAGGAGGTATCACTTCCTTTGAAGTCCATGGAAGCTGCACCTGTGTATTCAAGAGCTGAATGTGGCTCTCTTGACTGTGGCCAGCTCAGTATCCTCTGCTTGCTTACGTCTTGGAATTCCCTTCAACATGGTAATTTATTCTGCTCTGTCTGGTTACTTCATTGAAGTTTTAGTTCATATAAAAGTCTCTGCAACATCTGCAATGTCTATGGCACCAAATAAATCTGTAAATTAACTTAAAATTTGTTATGGACTATACATTTCTGTCATGGATCATTGTTTCAGAATTTGATGAATGAGCCTCCTAGGCTATATATCAGCAAACAGATCTTGTCAGCTGAACATGCTACTTACTTAACGGCTAATAAGCAAATGGGAGACATGGGTAAACTGATTCTTAGTTAACTGTATTTACCACACGGTGCATGTGTCAATGTGCATGCTTCACATACTCTCCCCCCCATGAGATGTTTCTGCCTTCCTAGCATTCATAACCACAGTTCCTCTACAGGAACTGGAGATGGTCATTAAATGTTTCTCATATCTGGGGTGATTTAGCCATACCTATATTTGTTACTAGTTATTATTTATGTTAAGATATTTTATTAGAGAATAAGGGCCTTTTGACATTACTCTGCTAAAGAGCACTTGTCTAGATGAAAAAGGAGAAAGGTGAGAGGATAAAGCAAAAATAAAATGACTATTTTTGCATAGTAATAAGTAGTTAAAATTCACTGGGCGCATCTACACGAGACATGTTACTGTGCATTAGCCTAATTTACTGTGCAGTATGGGTGAGTGTCTACATATGAGCACCCTTACTGAGCAATAAGTTCCCTTAATCATACTTAAATTTGCTACCTGCAAGTGCAAGTAGCAAACTTGAGTGTGATTAGGTCATGCGCAGTAAGGCACGTGTAGATGCAACCCAGCACTAAGTTTGCTGCCGAGTCTGCCCAGCCACTATGGGGGCTGGCCTGAGGCTAGCCCCAGGGCTCCTGGCTGGGAGCTTCTCCTGCTTCAGGGTTGGACTGTCTCACTGGCAGCCCCTGTCTGCAGGCTATAAAAGCCAGCCACCATTTTCTACCCTGGGGCACACACCACAGGAGCCTGAGGGCAATGCAGGTCCTGTGTGTCTCCCTGGGCAGGCCACAGCGCTGCTATGCCTGCCTCACACTATTCCAGTGCTGCTGCTCAGCCTGTGGCTGCTTTCTGATGAACTTTTGACTGCTGGCCGGGGGGCTTTTATCTGCTAAACATGTGGCTGCTGGTGGCAGCTTGCTGCAATCTCTGGGCAGGTCTGCCACCCCCAGGGCCACCTGCAGGCAGCTGAGTGCAGCACAGCCAGCACCACCAACAGCCTGTTCTGTGACTGCAGGTGCAATGGTGCATAGCTTCAGCCACACGGCTCCCAGTCCTGTGCTGTGCGCCTGCGCTGGGCGATGCTGGCAGCTACCCAGGGCCAGCACCACAGGGACAGCTGCATGGGGGCCCAGAGAGCCAGTGGGGCCGGGCCCAGGTGGGGGGTGGTCACATGAGAAACATGTCCTCACCATTCAGGTCTGGTACCACCTATGTATGCATGCCTGTGCCATCCACCCAGGGCCCCAAGTGGAGCCTGTAGGAGACTGGTGACTTCAGGGCACTCTGGGGCGAAGCGGAGATCCAGAGACAGTTTGAGTGAGGGGGCAGGATACGGGAGCGCAGGCACTCCTGGTCTGTGCAGCAGTGCTGCATCAAGGTCAAGGCCTTGCAGGCACAATGGGTGCCCATGAACGACCGCAATTATCAGTCTAGTCATGCCAAAATTACCATGTCCTTTATGCAGCAGCTGACCCAGTTTTTGGGACTCTGGGACCCAGGCCACAACCCTGAGGTTTTTACCAGCAGGGAAAGCCTGCCCAAGCCCCCACCCTGCCCTGACCCCTCCAGTGACATGTCACCAGACGAGGGGCCCTTGGGTGCTCAGCACCCCGCCCAGCTCCCCAGTTGCTCAATCCATTAGCAGCATGGGGAACTCTGGCCAGCAGCTGCCTCAGCAGGTGGGTAGCCCCAGATCCCACCACAAGGAATGGCCAGCCACATCACCACCAGCCATCAGCAACACCATATATTTCATAGACACTGGGGATGGAAAGGACCTCATGAGATCATTAGGTCCAGCCCCCTGCCCAAAGGGCAGGAAGTCAGCTGGGGTCAGATAACCCCAGAAAGTTAATCATCCAAATGCTTCTTGAATGTGTCCAGAGTACGTACGTGCACCACTTCTGGGAAGAGTCTATTCCAGACTCTGGAGACTTGGATGGTAAAGAAGTTACCAGTCCCAGACACATGGTAAGCCCCACACTGGGGGGAGGGTGCTGGCCACCTGCCCCCAGGCTCTGCCCCCTTAGCAGTCCCACCCTATGGCACCCCACTCCGGACACAAAAACATGGACTTTTGTCTTGTAAATAGTTTTGAAACTGGGAAGAGGGATTTTATTGTTGGTGGGAGCGTGATGGAGGGGCTCTGTTTGTTGGGGAAGGAGGGGGGAAGGGGCTCTGTTGATTGAAGGGGGAGGGGTGGGGTGTGTGTTGTGAGGGTAATAAAGATTTATTGTTTAAACATGTGCCTGTCATGAGAGTGGTGCTGGGGATAGGCTGGGGGTAGGGGGCCTGTGGGCAGCTGGGTAGGTGGGCTTGAGTGGGGAGTGGTCCATGAGGTGGTCTGCAAGAGCCTCCTACACCCGGTGCCCTGGGACCCACTGGTGGGTGCATGGCTTGCACATCTCCTCTGCCCAGGCCTCACAGATATTCTGTAGCACACAAACTGTGACGATGGCCCAGGCAAGGTTGTTCTCAGCCACTTCAAGGTGGGAAGTGAGGGACAGCCAGCAGCCTTTGAGTCAGCTGAAGCCACACTTGGCGAGGGCATGGGTTCATCCCAGGCACCAATTGAAGTGGGCCTGACACAGATTCAAGTGGCCAGTGTAGGGCCTCATCAGCCAGGGCAGGAGTGGGTACACTGGGTCCCTGATGAGCAGGCGTGGGATGACAACAGTGCCGAACTGCAGGTCCTCCACTCCCAGTGCAAAATGCCTGCAAAGAGCAGAAGAGCAACGGCAGCCCTGGCTGTGGCCTCTTGGAGCCACTTGTCAGTGTCACTGGTGGCAGCAACTGCATGGCAGCAGGGGCCTTTGGAGGGCACGCGGCAGGCAGACAGGCAGTCACTGCATGGGGGGGAGTCTGGCAGAGCGAGACGGTCATGGGCCAGGTGACAATGAGTGCGGCAGGCCAGCAGGATGAGTGAGGGGGCTAGCAGGATCAAAGTACCCTGTTAATCACTGCCAGGAGCTGGGGCAGCCATAGTGCAGAGACGCAGAGGGGACGCAAACACAGCTGCCATGTGCTGCCTCTGCACATGCCATGCTGCTCCTCTTAATCTTGGAAAGTAAAAGAAGAAAATGTGCACAGAGCAGGGCTGTGTTCTTAAGATGGCTACCAAGTGCAGGCAGCTGGATCTGGCTTCAAATATAGCTGCCAAGTGTTGGCAGCTGCAGTAGGAGGCTGGAGCTCCCTCTGGTGGTGACAGGGTCACATGGCCTTTGAGAGGACTCAATCAGTTCGCATTGTGTTTCTTCTACTTTATCTTCTACTTCTTTTTCTACTTAGGTTTGTTTCTACATTCATTACTCCTTTTGATTTTTTGAAGCTCTCAACTCCTTCTTTTTACAGCCCTGCTTCCTTGTCTACAGGCATTCATTCATTCATTAGTGTCTGCATTTATTTGCTGGATTTCAGTTTTGAATTTTGCTTTCACTCTTGCCCACAAAGAAGCCTCCAGGGTGATTATGAAAGGTAACACTGATGAAATTTGAACTTCTGGCTTGTTTTCATGGTCACCTCCTGTTCACAAGAGTGACAGGTTTGGGACTGTGTTAGGTAATCAGACTAGCATTCACTGGTATCAGGGAATTGAACAATATAGTAAAGGCAAGCATGCGCCAGCACTACAGAACATCTTGCTAGGACTTGCTTCTACAAAGGGAGCAGAGTAGGCTTGGTGAGGAGTCCAGCCAATGACCTCATCCATCCCTGTTTCAGTCAACAGACCTGTTGTGGAGGGAAGCATACACTAATGGCAGAGGGTTGCCTCTTAAGAGTTTTGGGAGTCTCTGCATGAGCCTACAAGGGAGTTGGTAGCTCAGTAAAATATTATTAGAGGGTAAAATGGAGGTAATTTAGAAAACTATTTTTAGGGAATACTCTGTAATTAGTGTAGCAAACACACTCTCCCTCCCCTCCAACAGACTTAGCACAAACTATAAAAGCCCTGCCATTTATACACTTAGGCTTTTTATTATTATTGATCCAGTGTAAGTGGATGGAGCTTGATGAGTTCTTGAGATAAAGATGCAAGCCCACGCTATATTGAATAATGATAAAATTAGATTAGATTTTTATTATCCATATATGAAAACATTTTCTGGTTTCCATAGAAGCTGCCACCAGCAATTTCCTTTATAGAATCACATTACTCTGTTATGTAACACTTTACCAGAATCATCCAAGCATTCTGCTCAGGGTCAACACAATCATATGAATATGGGGGTTCAATTAAAAGATGCTTGAAGCCCCTTCCAACTCCCTGAGTATGTGAGGGCAGCTACTGTTTTGGGGTAAATAGTCAGGAATTGTGAAGATAAATGACACATCAATCTCAATCTCTGTCCTACAGGCCTGGTCCACCTTCGGTAAGTCTAATACTAGCTACAAATGTTGTTAGACTTACCCAAGATGGACTTGATTGGTTTTTCTATTGTGGCATAATATGACCACAATGAAGATCCAGCAGACAGATTTTTTTTTTTGCTTGAGAAGTATCATAGTTATTGGAATATTTGTTTCTTAGACTCTGCAAATAGAAATAATTTTTGTTTTTCTACACTGGTAGTAAATATTGGCCAGTGCACTATACTGGCTTTTCCCCTTCTATTACGTACAATACATAGAAGGAAAATTTGTTGGATCTCTGCCAGAAACAGAAAAATATATATTTAAATAATTAAATACTGTAAGAGCTACAGTAATTTTCTTCTGATGGCAAGAGTAGATGAAACTTGAGAAAACTTGCATGAGAAATCAGAATTTCTAAATACTGTTAGTGGACCAATTATAAAACTTGGCTTTTCCTGCAAGTTTATGGAATTTAGTTGCTATGACTTGTTCACAGGATTCTCTGAAACAATCTTATCTAACCTCCAAAATATATATATTTGAGGTGATGTAGTGCTTTGCTGTCTAAATTCAGATATACAGCAATATAATAATGGCAACCCCAAAGGAAGGAAGGGGATATAAGATATGAAGGAAAAGAGTGACAAGAGAAGGATGTTGTATTGTTTAATAACACACTCCAGAGATGTGTGTGAGAGTGAAAGAGAGAGACAGAGGTTATATAGGTAAGCTGTGGAAGCAGGGGAAGGGAGGCAAAGTGGTAGGAAAAGAGTTGGGCTTCATCAGAACAAAATACAGAAAGGAGGTGCAGAGCATAAAGGCAGAGGTAGCAAGAAAAATAAAAATGGTATTATTCAGGAGAGAGTATGATGCAGCTATAAGCCATCAAAACTTAGTGAACTCATTGTGAGAGTTATTGAATACTGGTTAGTGCAGCTGCCTCTTGGAGACGCTCAGGGTTCCCTCCCTGCTGCTACTGCAAGTGCCTGTGGATTCCAGACACCTGATGCCTTTTAGAGGCCACCTCTCAACACAGCAGGAGCCTGGGGGCTGGGCTGCATGACATGCACTTACATCCTTATGTGGAGTCTTCCCAGCAATTAAAGAGCAATTGGAAAAGAAAATGAAGGGAAGAATATTGTGCTTTCTTAATTTATGAACAAATCATTAGGAGAAACCAGGCTCCTGCACAGGCTGTACTTGAAGCCTGTATATCCTGTTAGTTGTGAACATTGTAATTGTTAAAGCAAACAGTAGTGCTATTATGAGAAACACGAAAGAGACTAGTTGAAAATACCATCTTGTACTGGATACTATAACACTGCACCAGGGCCAGTGATGGATGCTGTTCATTATATGAGAATAAAACTGCCCTTGACCTTTAGTTACTTATTGTTCATATGTCCCTGTTATCAAGAACAAACGTTTACAATTGCTCCCTGTGACATTACCTAGGATAAAAAAATATATATATTCTTTTGCCTACAGAAAAAATGGACATAAGATAATATTAATGTAGAAATTGATTCAGTAGATTGACAAAACAAAACAAGCATCCTTTATGCAAAGCCACCAATATTTAAAGGAACCTGATTATGTTTAGTACAATAAAAACAGTTTATATGCATTAGAGTAAAAGGATAGAACTCAGATTTTTCTCATGTTTTTGTTCATCTTATGTTTCATTTCTCTGTATGCAGACTTCCTTTTGTATTTTGTTCTCTGTCAATACCATCTGACTATATCTTGCAGTGTAAATTAACATATCTGTATTAATTTGTGTCTGTTTTGTGTGCACTGTGTTTATTTTGTACAAGTCAAAAACTTGATGAGAGAAAACCTATTTTTTAAAGCAGAACACCATTTTTGTTGATGTTTTGTCAGCTGCAAGAGATTTATTTATATCAAGGGCATCAGTACATTCCTTATAGGATGTTGAAAAGAAAAGTGTTTGAAAAGAAAAGTCAATTCAGGGGTTAATGGACAGCAGCAAAACCTTGGGTTTATTTTTTCAGCCTTTTTATAAACTTCTGATTACTGCTATCAATGCTGGAACAATTACATTTTACTTATTTTCCCTATCTCACCACAGAGAAATGTAACTTTTTAATTGGCCCCACTGCTAAATGTCAGACTGATTTTAGACTAGCCAGCTTATTTCAAAGCTTCCTGCAGGAGGAAATAAAAGCAGATGCCAGAGTCAAAACAAACAGGTTGGACTGACCAGTCATTTCCCTCCAGGGACAAAGATGCTTACTGTATTAGCATAAATGCACAATAATACATCACCTGAGCCTAAAATGTTAGACGTATCAGCCTTACCAAGTACAGTTTTGTTTTTACCATGTTTCTTGTAAGCACGCAAATCCCTTACACATTTCAGTATGATGCCAGTCACATTACTGAAGAAAGCCAATGTGGTGGTTTTATAGAAATACAGGTGAAGATTTTCAAAGGCTTGTGGGAGATTCAGTCACAATGAAATGTCATGGGATGTATTCCAGGAAAAGGAGTGCCTACTGGTCTTCTGTCCAGTTAAATATAATAAAGATCCAAAATGTTATTAATGCCTTGACAATAGCTCTTCTAAGTCAAGCTATTGAACTTGTATCAAATATTACAGGCAGTGCTGGTAAATAAGTATTTTTTTAAAACCCTACCACAAGACCAGAAATACTGTACCTTATCTTCACTGATGTATTGTGTACAAGACACACTGTATATATACAGTTCTCAAGTCCAACATCTCTGTAGGACTCCAGATCTGGGCATTACAGCCAGCCAAATAATACTTTAAAAGGTTGCTATGTGTTTCTGTTGAATATTCCTTAATGGCTTTTTCCATTGTATTTTTATAATACAATGGGTATTTCTTAGGTATTATGGATACACGTTGCCCATTCTGATGGAGCATAAAAATGCTATGCTCAGACCATTCTTGTCAAATGGCAGAGACTCCAGGGCACAAATTCACAAGTAGCTAAAGCCAGTGAAATAGTGCCTGCGTACTCTGATGGTGAATTTGATCATACCAAATGTGCTTGACTGGTATTAGTCAAAGTTTTATAGTGATGATAGCATTATGATTTAATAAATATTTATTTTGTGTTCAGGCTAACTCAGTACTTTAGGTAGGAATGTAAGGGTATGATTTTCTAAAGCACTCAGTATTCACTTAATTCTGCTTCTGCTATCCAGAGTAGAAGTAATAGGAGCAGAGTTAAGCCAGATGCCAGGAAGTGTTGAAAATCCTGCCTTCTATGTTTATTATATCTATTAATTGTGGACTGTCATGGTAAGGTTGTGATGCAGAATTGAAGAGATGATCCTCCTCACTGTAGGTATTAATTTTAAGAACTAAGTGTAGCCACTGACTCCAAAACAGTTAAACTCCCTTGCCAGTGCTGAAACTGTCCCTTCATTGCTCATCTTAGTGGCATCTACTAAGTTTTTCTTCAATGATCTTAAGCTTTCATTTAGCGACCACCTCATTAAGAACAACAATTGACGAACTATAGTGCAATTTTAGGATTTGAAATATTGAGATATTCTTACAGATACAGAAAACACTTACTTGGTATGTTTCTACAGGCTTTGTTTCCATGTTCAGATCCCAAACTTTGACAGTGAGGTAATCCCTTGTCAGCATGTATCTGCCACTGTGACTGAATTTGACATCTGACACAGAGGAGATAATTTCTGAAAAAAATGATCTATTACTGGGGTCTTCTGGTTCTTCATAAACTGTTCAGTAAAAAGAAAGAGAGAAGGAAATAAGATATTACATAGGAAACTGTGCTTCTCTTGAAAAAAAGCAGCGTGATAAAAAGGAGATATTAATGTATCAGACATAGATATTGATATAGGTGGGGTACAGGAGGCTAGCGCCAGCACCTAAGCTGACCTCAGCAGCCTTACTTGGAGTCCTGGGGACCTCCCAGGGCTCCAGCAGCAGTGATCTGGGTGCGTGGGCCCCCTCACTTTTTTCTGGCATGGGTTTTTTTGACACCAGGATCTCCAGGTAACCCCCACCAATGCTGCAAATTAGCAGCATGGTGAATGCCTGAAGGTGTGGCGCATGCGGTTTGCAGTGCTGCAGACAGGCCTGCAGCACTGCAAACAGGCCTGCAGCACTGCAAACCGCACATGGCCTCTTGTGGGGACGCACCCATGCAGGCTAAGTTAAACTAAAGGCAAATAAATGTCACTTTAGAACTAAGCTACAATAATTGCTTGCCTGTGCATGTGACATGCCTTTCATGAAGACTGCTTCCAAACTACTCCACAAAACTACATACATAAGCAGCTCTTCATCCACCACAGAAGCACAAGCACCTGTGAGTTCATAAACATCCGTCATTGAAACTCACTGGGACAAGGGGTATTTTTTTCATAGTTTCATAGTTTCTTAATTTCTAGGGTCGGAAGGGACCTGAGCAGATCATCTAGTC